CAGGCGGGATGGAAGGGGGGAGGAGGAGGGACATGGCGGGGGATGGGAGGAGAAGGAGGAGGGGGAGGAGGAGAAGGAGGAGGAGGAGGAGGAGGGAGGGGGAGGAGGACGAGGAGGAAGAGGAGGAGGAGGGGAATGCAGGGGAGGATGGGGAGGAGGCGGAACATAATTAGAGATCAAGTGGCATGGGAGAAGGGTGGTGAGGAATAGCAAGAGTAAGGTGACAGGCAGCTGGCATGCGCAAGTTGGTTTGCAGTCTCAGTGTTTGGCTTGCCTTGCTCATTTGACAGTCAGCTGCATGTCAAGCCTCGCGGGTTCCCTGATGGCCTCTTGGGCGCCCCCCTTGGGAGACTTCCAAGCATTCTCGTGAAAACCCTCAACTCGCGCACCTGGTCAACAATATTCGGGGGTATAGGGGGGCCGGGGAGGGAGGGAGGGGGGTCTTAAGAGTGGCCCAAGAAACCTCAATGCGGATTCCAAACGGGCCGAGGCGCCTCCATGAATGATGGAGGCTTGTTGGGGACCTAGCAGGGCCTCTTTGGTACCTCTTGGGTATTGCCTTGACGGCTCTCCTGACTTTCTTTCAGAGGCCCGTCACCTCTGTATGTGATAGAAACCCGAGACGCGTCGAAATGAACCCAACGTGGGCCCGGGATACTTTCATCATCATGGTGGCGCTTTGGGAAATCCGCGGGGCCTCTGGGCTGTTGGTGCATTTCCTTGGAGTCCTTGCGGGCCGTCGGGGCGCCCCTCGGACTCCCCCGTCACGCGGATCAGTTTCAAGAAACTTACCACGACGTCAACTGCAAAAGTTCTGGCTCAATAGATCTTCATTTTCCACGAACGTCATAAATCATAGATCGGCTCGTCCTAGAATGGACTTGTCCCATCTCACGCGGGAGGAACTGTGGGAGCAGTGGGCTGGAGATGTCATTTCTTGGCAACACGGCGTGCTTCGCCCTCATCCTGACGACATAGCCGCGTACGAAGCTGAGGCAGTTGCATCGTGCATCGCGACGCAGACGTCGCCCAGCACAGCAAAGATGACGCAAAGCAGAACACGAACGGCACCAATGGCAGCACCCAGGCCCATGATGACACGGCTATCTCCCAGGACAAGGACGATCAGGATGATGAGATGATGATCGCAAGTCCAGACCCTTGGGGACCTGACTGGAACCGCGCAGTGTGTCTCAGGAGGGCCCACAGGCGTCTCTGGGAGAACATTGGGCGCAAACGCATTGACATGCTTTCCCCTCCCTCACGAGGATCCCCCCTCCTGACTCGACTCACCCTTCATCCTACCATCCTACCCTTAGCTCGCATTCAGGAGGCCTTTGAATCAATCGGCGAAGTGCACGAGAGCGTAAAGTTACCAGTGCGCCAGAAACAATTATTTCATAGGGGCGCATGCCAAGTTCTAGGACGTGTATGAAACTGCGTAGGATACCCAGGATATCCACATGGTGCGCAAAGTTAATCGTGCTCTCAAAGCTGCCCCCGAGGGCGTGGAGATAACTGCCCGCCCGAAGAGGGCTGATTTGATTCTCATCCCTTGCGCCAAGAAAATCGCGCCCCAAGAAACCGTATGGGCGCATGGTTCGGTGACACGATAGCACCAAGATGATCGTATGCCCCTGGATGCCCCTGGACCATGGCATGCAAGGTGTTGATTGTTTTCTCACGCGTCGAACCTCAGGAGGAGATTGCGGCGGGCATCTTGCATGAAGAAATTCTCAAGTGCGAGAAGTGTGTCGTGTACGTTGGCGCATTCGGTCTTGACGAGCGGTGTCCTGATTGCCGCGATGCCATTCCCAGCGCAGCGTCCAGCAGTGGCCGCTGAATATTTGAGCAGCTGCTTTCTCACCCCGCCAACCCGTCCTCTCTCACGTGCGGTTGCCCCGTTCGTCCCCTCCACATTTTTACGCATCCGCATCCTCCTTGCGATTGCGACAGCAGCAGTATATAAGGAACTGTGTATACTGAGTGCAACGGGCTCCTCGATGTATCTGATCGCCGCGGGAGTTGCCGTGATGAAACATCCGCCGTGGCCGATCTCGAGAAGTGGCAGGGAGTGGCGCAAATAGATTCGGGGCTGCCTAGATGGGGGCAGGGGCGTCTCTAAACACAATCCACAATGGCGCCAATAGTAAGAGGGGGAGGGAAGAGAAGGAACATAGGGAGGAGGAGGAGGAGGAGGAGGAGGAGGAGGAGGAGGGGCACGAGGACGAGGAGCAGCATCAAGAGAAACACGGGGAGGAGGGGGAGGAGAAGGAGGACCATCAGCATCAGCATCAGCATTCCCACTTTTGTTCCTGGAGCACGTCCTCGAGGCGCGCTCCAGGAACAAAAGTGTGAATGAGGATAAGGGTGAGGACGACGACGGGAGGTCGAGGAGGGAGGAGGAGGAGGAGAAGGAGGAGGAGGATCAGGGGGAGGAGGAGGAGGAGAAGGAGGAGGAGGAAGAAGAGGAGGAAGATGAGGAGGAGGAGGAGGAGGAGGAGGAGGAGGAGGAGGAGGGGGAAGGAGGGGGAAGGATAAGCAGGGGGGGAGGGGGTGGAATGGGCGCCAGAGATCTCGAAGAAGCCACCAACAAATTCCAATCGGCTACATGTTGTCTTGCGCTGGGGCCCTCGTTGTACCCGCGTTAGGCCTCTCGGGCCATTGTCTTGAACGTTCACTTGGGCCCCCTTGTAGAGGCCCTCGCCTATCCCGCGCTCCTATGGGGAGCTCCTAGAAGTTCCGAGTGGGCCCTAAGACGGGCCCTGTTCATTGAGGCGCGGTGGGGCTCTCGTGGAATTGGTCCGAAGCTTTAGGGCGCTCTCGTCGGCCCCCCAGACCCTCTCTTGGGGGCTACCACCCCAACTGCGGCCCTGCGGCGCAGTGCGGTTCAGGGCGGCGCGGGGCGCCGGGGCCGCGGGCCCGGCAGGCCGCGTGCCAGACGGCGGCGGCGGCGGCAGAGGGTAGCTTTGTTCCTCCCCCCTCTCCCTCTACTTTCTCCTTTCTCCTACGTGCGAGATAAAGAGAGAAAGAGAGAGAGAGAGAGAGAGAGAGAGAGGGGAAGAGCGAGCGAGAGAGAGGAGGTGAAGGAGGAGGAGGAGGAAAAGGAGGAGGAGGAGGAGGAGAAGGAGGAGGAGGAGGAGGACGGCGAGAACGAGGAGGAGGAGGAGGAGGAGGAGGAAGAGGAGGAGAAGGAGGAGGAGGGAGGAGGAGGTGAAGGAGGAGGAGGATGAGGTGGAGAAGAAGGAGGAGGATGAGGGGGAGAAGGGGGATGATGATGTTGATGATGATGATGAGGAGGAGGAGGAGGAGGAAGAGGAGGAGGAGGGGGAGGAGGAGAGGAGGAGGAGGAGGAGGAGGGGGAGGGGGAGGGGGAGGAGGAGGGGGGGGAGCACGAGCACATGAAGCGATGCGCCGAGTCAGGACGATGGACAGGGTGGACAGTGAGAGAGGCGGAGCAAGCGTAGATCACCCACAGAGGCCCAGCGATAGCATTGCGGCGACGAGGCACGCTTCCACTCGAGGCCAGAGGGCCAGGGTTCAAATCCGCGTTGACATCTTCTTGGGGAATTACAGGTGCACACGCAATCGTATCAACCAAATGGGACGTTGCAGGATGAATCATGGTATCATATATCATTTATGTATGCGCACGCATGTAAATCCGTATGACATTGCAATCGGGGGCTTCATTTCCGGATGAGACATATCTGTATTTCCACTTTGCTTGCTTAACCCTCCACTTTGCTTGCTTAACCCTCCACTTTGTAGCCTTAACGCTCCGCTTTGCTGCCTTATCCGGAAATTGCACCATCCGGAAATGCACGTCCGGAAATGCCTTTGTTCCAGGGAGAATATACTTATATGCCACACACATATTCACAAAAAACAGTGATATCTTGAACAGAATCTTGAGATGTTCGGACGTAGCGCTTCTCCTTCCATACCGAGCACGCAAACATGTGGATTTCTCGGAGGCTTCTGCGTGGACCCAGCTCAAATCTATATCTCGTCATTTTGGCGCCCCCCAGGTTGCCCTCCCCCCCCGCTGGCGGCCCGCAGCTCCCCGTTGCCTTTGGCGACCCCGCTGCAGCCGGGGCTTCGGGCCTGGGTCATTCTCGCCCCCATCATGGCCCGCGACTGCTGGCAGCCCTGGACTCTTGCGTGAGGTGGAGAAGGCAGGGGGGGATCTTGGATTCGTGATGGTGGGGCTTTCCAGGGGAGGGGCCAGCGGCCCTGGTCTACAAAGCTAGCTTCAAGTTCCGAGGACGCTGGGGGCGGCAGCGAGGTCGCATGCCGAGGGCCTGCCATCGTGCCCGCTCTAGGGGTCGGCAGTCCTCCTGCCTATCCTGCTCCTGCTTTCGCTCCTCCTCCTCCTCCTCCTCCTCCCCCTCCTCCTCCTCCTCCTCCTCCTTCCGAACCGTTGGTGGGACCAAATCTTTTGAACCAGCCTTCCCCCTCCGAATCTTTCGAATCGTTGGTGGGACCAAATCTTTTGAAGCAGCCTTCCCCCTTTCCGAACCGTTGGTGGGACCAAATCTTTTGAACCAGCCTTCCGGCCGGGACAACATCTTTCGAATCGTTGGTGGGGGCCAAATCTTTTGAACCAGCCTTCCCCCTCCTCCTCGCCCTCATCCTCATTCCCACTTTTGTTCCTGGAGCGCGCCTTGAGGACGCGTTCCAGGAACAAAAGTGGGAATGCTGATGCTGCAGGTCCTCCTTCTCCCCCCCCTCCTCCCCGTGCTTCTCTTGATGCTCCTCCTCCTCCTCCTCCTCCTCCTCATCCTTCCTTCCCCTCTCCACCCTTCCTCCTGCTTTTGATGTTGTTCGGCCTTTCCGCAGCTGTTCGAAGCCCGAACGAACTGCTGCAGAGTTTCGGAAAGCAGTTCACCTTCGCGCCCAACTGCCAGCGCTACCTGTCTGGCACATGGCGGAGTCGGTCTCCAGTAAGAGCAGCGGTTCTGCGGGCGGGCGCCCTCTCAGCACAGTTGGCGGCCCAGTGACTATCGGTGCGACTGTCTTCGTCTGCGTCAAGCGTTGCCCGCTGTGTCTCAAGTGCAACACCGACGAGAACCCGTTGCAATTTGGGCCAAATGGCGTCGATGCATTTCCATTCTTGCCGTGGGGCAGAGGGTCGTCAGAGAATCCTGTCGGCCGGGTGGACAAGGTCTGCATGCGCACCTGGGACGATGGGGGGTGGTCCGCAGAGTACAAGAACGTGGACGAATTTGTCGAGACCAGGAAGGGGAACGTACAGGTCCAGGCCGAGTGGACGTCATCACGAAACCTAACGATCAAGGACGTGGAGGAGGGACCCGAAAGATGCTCCAGAGCTGAGAAGGGCAAAATCAAGGACAGGCACCGAGAGAACAGGAAACGTGTCGTCAAATCGTTCACCGAGGAGTCGTTTGACATCGACTCGAAATTCAAGGCGATCGCTGTGAAACAATTCAAAGAGGATTTTCCAGGGAGGATTGAGAAGGAGGAGCTGGAGACTACCTGGGATGTCTTCGATGGCGTCTATCAGGAGGTCGTGCTCCTGCCCAAGAACAAGGAGGGCGAGTGGGACGTCACCGTCAAGCGCCGCAGAGGCGCGCGCATGGACGAGACGGTGGACGACGGCAGCCACGTTGTTCGGCAAGGGCAGTTCAAGGCCAAGTTCGATCGCATGGTCAAGGACACCATGGCCGACGCCCGCAAGAGCCTCAAGAACACTCAGTACACCGCCCCTACGAAGGCGGCGCAGGACGCGGGCCCAGAGGAGCTCGGCGACGCCACCCAGGAACCCATCCCCGCTGATGATGTCGACGAGGACGACGGCTTGTCCTTCGTGGGGTCCTCGCTGCTCTCTTCAGGAGGCTCGACCGCGGCCCCTTCCCGCAAGGCCACTTCGACTGGCAGCGGGCCTGCCGCTGCCGCTGCCGCGCCGGCCCGCGGCAGGTCCACCGCCGCCGCCGCCGCTGGCGCCCGCGCCCGTGCGAGGTCGCCGCAGCGACAGCCATCCGCCAGCCCCCCAGCGGATTCTGCCGGCAAGAGGGGGCGCGTTGCGATGAGCGTGAAGATGCTCGGCAAGTCCGCTACTGAGATTTTGGACCCCCTCGGTTTGGAGCAGATTCGCAACGACTTCGAGGAGATCTCCAAGAGCATGCAGATCGAGCCGTTCACATCTTGCTTCATCGGCGCCAACCACGAGACTTTGCCTGCGAAGTGCGCGGAGCTAAAGAAGGCCGCAGGGGCGCTGCAGGGCAAGGTCGTCAACCTTGACAATAAGGTCCGCAAGTGGGTGGATCTCCCGCAGCACGTTGAGCAGGAGGTCACTTCGTGGAGGCAGAAGGTGACCGCCATGCCAAACTTGCCCTCAGCACCCTGTGGATGATGATGATGATGATGAGGAGGAGGAGGAGGATGAGGAGGAGGAGGAGGAGGAGGAGGAGGGGGGGAGGAGGGGGAGGAGGAGGAGAAGAAGGAGGAGGAGGAAAGCCCCCTCCCCCTCCTCCTCCTTCCTCTGCCCCCGTCCAGCCCCTCGCCATCCTCCTTCCTCTGCCTCCTCCTCCTCCTCCTCCTCCTCCTCCTCCTCCTCTTTTTGCGTGTTTCTCGAGGCCTACTGACGGGCCTCTAGAAGGTCCCCAGCGCCGATTTGGCAGAACTGGCAGCTAAATTCTGAAAAGTTTTTGTTTGCATTGGAATGCCCCCCCGAGGTGACATGCGCGTCGGACGGTTTCCAGCTTTTCAGCAAGACGCACCCCGACTCGAACAAGTTGGAGTCGTTGCTCGCGACAATGAAGGCCAACGGCGTCGACATCCCGATCGCTTACGTCGTCACGTTCTTCAGGGAGAAGGCCCTCGACCTTGTCCGATTCAAGCAGGTCGCTGAGTTGCTCGACTTCCTGAGCTTGAAGGAGGGCTTCCTTTCAGAACGCATGGGCGGCGATCTGGACGTAGACTTGAAGGTCGTCTCTGAGAATGTCATCAGCGAGTGCCTCATCACCCTCGCCACGGGCTACCTCTCGACTGAGGGCGCTGATGAGGCAGTCTCCCAGGTCGCCAGGCTTGCTGGGGGCCTGGCGTCGAGCGAGCATGGCATCCCCGAGGAAGTGGCGGACGACCTGGGGCATATGGCTGGTGCGCTGGGCTTCGGGGAGACGTTGGGTGACGATCGTGCATCTGACCTCCAGTGGCTTTCAGACAAGAGAGCCGACGCTACTTACACTGGCGTGCTCGCGACCATTCTCGGCGACGCTGCTTTCTGGAAGGCATGCTCGGCTACCACTTCGAGCTGCGGTCGCCGGATTCAGGACCCATGCCGCTCGACAGATGCACTCGTTTGGTTTCGGGGGGGCATGGGGCCCGCGCGGGCCCCGCGCCGATGGGGTCCAGGGGGGGGGTCAGTAGAACACATGGGCTGGTTTGAAGGCATGGGCTTCTTCGAAGGCAGGGGATTCTCAGAAGGCGCGCATGATCTCTTAGAAAGCAGGGGCGTCTGAGTGGGCATGGGTCCGATATCCTGGCTCGGTGAGGACGCCGCCCGCGCGTTCAACAAGGAGTTCGAGAAGTGCGGTAACAATGTATATTTGCAAGCAGACAAGCAGGGCTTGATCGACGCCATCGCCAACCTGTTCGCTGTCTGCGCCGCTGCCGAGGACGTGGAGAAGGTTCGGGCCTGCTTCGAAAGTGCGCTTGCAGCCATGGAGATGAAAGCTGGCGTCGAGACAACCTCGTGCATAGATTCCCTGGGGTCGATGCTGCAGTTCGCCGTGGACGAGTCGCACGGCATGCTGGATATCCAGAAGGAGTTCGAGCTAGTGAACGTCGCAGTGGAAGCGTCTCGGCTGAAGGGCACGTTCGACCTGGACGAGCTCCTGAAGAGGTTCCCGAGCCTTGTCGCCCTTTGCGGGTCGGTCTCGACCTCCCTGGCGACCGCGAAGCAGAAGATGCAGACCATCAGCGACGCCATGGCCTGCCTCCGGACCTTGCTCAGGACGCTCGCGAACAAACCTGGCGATGAATCTCTCGGAGGCGACGAGCACCAGAAGCACATGTCGAGCGTACTGGCTCGCCTCAGCAGCGTGCACAACAAGGTGCTCAAGGTAGATCCCCCTGAAAATATCAAGACCCTACTGGTGGATTTCGGCCAGAAGTTCGGCGTCGTCAGCCACGGGAAGAAAGCCTACGACCAGAAGGTTGAGCATATCAAAGTACTGATCTCCGACACCGCGGCAAACGTCATCTCTCTGAAGGGTGCCAACCAGGAGGACACGAAGAAGCTCGCCAAGCTCATCGACAAAAACATCGAGGCGTACCAGACGCAGGACTTGGCCATCCAGCAGCTGGCGATCTACTCGGACACGAAGGACCACGACGCAGCATGCTTCAAAACGTTGGCCGATGTTATCTTTCCTTTCTTCAAGTTCTCGCCAAGAGCAATCGTGCTTTGCAAAGGCTTACCTACGGACTTCAAGCCATACATGAAGATGGTCTCTCGCGTGAAGGCGATGCTGAACACGGACGTGGTGAAACCGAAGTTGGCGTGGTTCGCTGGCGGTGACAAGGCAGACGAACTCATGGGCGTGGTAAAACTCATCTGGTCCACGCTGGACGAGCCCGCCACGAGGCACGTGGAGAGCTTGAGAAACAAGCTGGTCCTCCTCCAGGGTAAGGTGAACAACGCGCTGGCAGGTGCCGACGTCGTGGCAGACAACAAGAAGTTCCACGATTTCTACGACATGGCGAAGATGGGCTCACTCAAGACGCTGCGCGGCCAGCTGAAGGCAGCGTTGGCTTCGTACGCGGAGGCAGGCTGCGACGACGTTGAGGGCTTGACCAAGACAGCGGACACAACTTTGACTGAGGCCAGGTCGCAGACGATCAAGTGGGGCCTCGTCGTGTTCCTCCACAACCCAGAGATCAGGTCCCTTGCGTCCCGCGGCGTGACCCTCCGGAGGGACCTCAGCAACACCTGGAACCTCAACAAGGACACCGAGGGCATGCAGGCGTACATCGGCCAGGGGATGGTCAAGGACATCAATGAGGTGCTCGCGCTGGGTACGTCGGCGCCGATGCCGGCGAAGAAGCCGCCTTGTGCACAGCCTGCGGCCGCCGGCGACGGTCTTGCTGGCAGAGGTGGTGCCGCTGCTGCTGCGCCTGGGGGCGCCGCTGCTGCTGAGCCTGGAGACGTGGAGGGCGAGGGCGACGCCGTCGAGCCCCCGCGCAAGAAAGGCCGCGGGTCCACGGGCCAAGGCCGCAGCAGGGGGCGCGGGCGCGGCCGGGGCTTGTAGGCCACAGCATCTTGGTGCGTTGAACTTGTGAGCAAGTTCTTTAGGCACAGCGGGTTTTTGTTTTGACCCCGCCGCGAACGATGGCCTGGGGAGCAATCAAACATCGATCGAACAAACGTGGGGCCAAGGTGGCTCCAAGACTCCAAGAGCGTTTGAAGGCCGCCTGATCTCGTCGGGCCCTGGGCAGTATAATCTTTCGTTCGGGGATTTCTCATTGACCAGGTGGCCCAGACCCTACTTGAGCAACAATGTGAAACTCAGTGGTTTACCCGTTTGATTGCAGCCACCTTTAGGTAGGATGAAGCTGGCTCGTGGACTCGAGCCAGGGTGATTGAAATCGTGAACACTTCTCGTGTGGTGTGTTGCCCAGGTGCTGGTTGCAGCACGCCTTGGCATTCATATCAATCCTCGTTGCCTTGCTCCTCCTCCTCCTCCTCCTCCTCCTCCTCTTCTTCCTCCTCCTCCTCCTCCTCCTTCTCCCCCTCCTCCTCCGCCTCCTTCTTCTTCTTCTTTCCCTGGCGGGGGGGCGGGCGACCTCCTGGAATTCTCCTCCTCGGGCACCCTCTTGACCGCGCCGTCCCGCGACCCGCCCGCGGCGCGCCGGCGGGAGTGGCGGCTACAACAACAAGACAAATATCAGCAACAAGCAACATCGTAACATCGTCACCGCAGATCCCCACTTCAGCCACGCGCCTAGGGACAGCGTTGGACCGTTCGCTCCTGCCCCACGCCCACCCTTCATGAATCATTCATTCATTCATTCACGCTGTGCGTTGCCATCCTCCTCCTCATTCTAATCCTCCTCTCGCATGCCACCTCGTGGCTACCTCGCGGCTTGCTGCTGCTGCCGCCGTGGGGGCCTGCCTCTCGCAGACTATTCGGCCCGAGCCCTCTCTGGCGACCTGCAGTCAGGAACGCTTTCGACAGTGCTTCGACTTCGGGGGATGCCGCAGATGAAAAGGCCCGCCGCTGCTGGCCAGTCGCGCCAGATGAAGCGGCCCTCAGCCGCAGGGCGCAAGGCTTCGTTTGCTTGCAGATTCTTTGCTCACGTCTTGAAGCAATTCAACCCAGCAATGAATGAGCAGTTCTTGAATTCGACCAGTCGGCCGATCACTCTGTCGACGGCCTGCAGCGGCAGCGGCATGGCAGAGATCGCGCACCATGTCATCATGGGTTATCGGAAGCACGCCACGGTCGTGGATTTCTCGTGCGAGTCCGATGCAGCAAAGCAGCAGTACTTGTCCAAGATCGTCCATCCCATGTTGACCAAGAGCAAAGGGTCCAGCGCCACCTCGCCATGCTTGTTTGCAGACGTCCAATGTCTTGGTCGCGGGCTCGCAAAGTGCTGCATCCACCAGGGCCAGTGCGAGGTGCCATCCGGCGGAGATATTTTCATCGCAGGGTTCAGCTGCAAAGATTTTTCGCAGCTGTCTCGCAAGGCGCCCGCGGCCAAAGCCATGGGCCATGGGCCATGGCCATGGCCCTGGTCCAATATGATGTTTCCCCCTGCCCCCCTCCCTCGGGCGGAGGGGCGGCGGGGGAGGGGGGGAAGTCAGCAAAATATCTCCGCATGGTTTCTCGAAGGTGGCGCCCGCTGATAAAAAGAACATCCTCACGTCGAGCACAGGGACCTCGGGCCCCACGTTCAAAGGGGTCGTCGACCACTGCAGGCTCAATCGGCCCAAAGTGGTCATCCTCGAGAACGTGCCCAACGTAGCAAAGCCCGAGATTGCAGAGCAGCTCTGGAACACATTCGCAGACCTCGACTACTACGGGGACCACGTCCTCATTGAGAGCACCGACTACGGACTACCGCAGCGGCGTACTCGAGTCTTTTTCCTGTTGGTGCACGCTCCGACTTTCGGCCTCTCGCAGGATTCGAGCGCCAAGTTGTGCAGCAAGATCTTGGCTTTCGTTGAGAAGCTCAAGATGCCGACCCTGCCGTTGCAACAGTTCCTCCTCCGTCGCGACGACGATCGCATCACGCAGGAATGCCAAGCTCGCCAAGCGGTAGACAGAACACAAACAATTGGTGAAGGAGTCGAGTGGCCAAAGCTTCACCGCGATCATTTGTCAAAGAAGGGCCTGAACAGGTCTTTGGTGGAAACGCCCGCCCACATTCGCAGTTCTTTGTGGTGCACCACGCTGCCGAGGCGCGAGCAAGAATGCTTAGGATTCGCTGTTCGTTGCGGCGTGGAGAAGGGGTGGGCTCTCAAGTCTGTGGACCTGCACCCTTCCATCGATCGCTTAGCATTCGGCCGTGACAACGAGGTGCATACGTTGGTGCCCAAGAACACGACGTGGCTCTTTAACCCTTACTTAGTTCACGGCGACGAGATAGAGCAACACCAGGATGATCGTTTGCTCCTCGGGTGGGAGACTCTGAACTTGCAGGGCTACGACATGAGGATCCTGGATAACTGCCCAGGTTACAAGCCGAACGATTCCTTGCTGATGGATTTGGGCGGCAACGCTTTCGCAATGAGCGCGATCCTGGGTATCATGATGTCTCTATACGCCCATGTGGACATCGCTTCGGCTGTGAGGCCCAGCGCTTCGGCTTCTGAGGGCAAGGGGTCGGGCACCATTTGTGATTTGATGAAGGATTGAGCGATCCTGGAGGTAAGCCTCCGCTGGGAACTCGCTTCCTTGATTTAGGCATCCGCATTCCATGGTGTATAACGTCCATAACATATAGTCATATAGTCTTGTAGTGAGCCGGACTTCACTGCGCAAGTCTTCCGACGAGCGCGCGGGTTGACGCGCACAAGAAAAAGAACTTCCGCGTGGGCAGGCGGGCCAGATGTCCCGCGCAGGCTGGGTTGCTCGCGTCTCCTCGCCCCGACTGGCTGCACTGGGTATCAGGAGTTTGGGTGCAAGTTGCATGGCAGTAGCACAACTTCCAGCAATGATTGGATGATGGTGTGATGTTGCGTTGTTCCCGATCGGTGCGCGTCGCTTGCTTCTGAGCCGTCGGCGCTGGGTTCGTCTCGAAATTGCGCGCGGCGCTGGCCAGGGCCTGCGAGGGGCCCGTGCCGCTGTCCTGGGTCCGCATATGGCTTTGCATTCACCGCGCCCGGCTGACTTGCTTGAGCACTGCATTGGATTGCTTGCCACGAGCTGTTACTTACCGCAGTGTGTGGCTTCTGCAACGGGTGAGAGGGCCCGTTCTTATTCGGCTGAGTAGTGCTCGCGGTTTGTCAATCTCGTGTAAATCTTGCAGGTGGAAGAGGGGAGCTCGGATCCCCATTTCTTTGCTTTGTGAGGCGGTCTTTAACATTCGGGCTTCGCCACCGTCCGCCTGGCAAGGCCCATTCCTTCAACGATAGCCTCCAGCACCAACATAAGCATCAACACCAGCATCCCCATCGGCACCAACAACAACATCAACAACACCGCATCCATTCATTCTATCATGATCCCCCCCGTCATTGCGCGCTCCGTGGGCCTCAAGTAGGCCCCAGCGGGTGCTCCTCGTGGCAAGATCCGCGAACCCCCCCTCGGGCATGTCCACCAGACTGGTGCTTCTGGCCTGCATTGGCACGTCCCTCACGCGTTTCGTGGCCCACATAAAATACGATAGGGAGGGGTTGCAAAAACAACGTCAGAATTGAAGTTGTCCCCTACATATAAATGGTTTTCCGAACAAGATAATTGAATAGTACTATGTAGGTAATACATTTCCGATTGTAGCTTATTAAATACCTTTATGATTAAATGACTGGGTTTCCGATTTAGAGAATAAGCGATTGAAGGTTTCCGATCGGTGTGAACCACTTCTCAAGACGAAAGGTCTTCAGAGAACCCAATGTATGTGTATACACACAAATGTGTGTTTTATACACATGTGCATGTATATGTCTGTGTGCATTCATAGGGGTATGCATATGTATATGTATGTGTGGATATGTCCACATACACATGCATACATGTGTATGTGCATGCACATCTATGAGTACATGCACATGTATACTCATGCATGTTTGTTTGTTTGTATGTATGTATGTATGTATGTATGTATGTATGTGTATATATATATATATATATATATATGAGTGTGTGTGTGTGTGTGTGTGTGAGTGAGGCTCACTCCATTTTGGCTCAAGCCATCTGGGATCACGCCATTTTGGCTCAAGCCATTCTGCTACGCTGTAGCTTGCGGATTGGAGAGGCGCCCAGGCCTCCTCTCCACATGTACTTCCTTACTTCTCACCTGTCCTACTTGTGATCGCCGGGGGGATTCAGCAGCATAATCGAAACGCCGCACGACCGAGTCAGACCGCCAGGAGATGCAGGAGGAAGAGCAGCGTGTGTTTCAGGCGATGCCGGCCGGCACCAAGGAGCTGCTCGACTTATACAACAATAGGTCGACCATGAACATGGACTGGTTCATGGAAAACATCCGCCAGGAGCACGAGCCGAGGTTCAAGGCCTTGGAACAGGGAGCAACTAAGCTCGAGGCGCGGGCGAGCGGCCTTGAGAAGAAGATGATTGACTCAAACTCGTCAGGCGCAAGCGGAGTGAGCAACCGGAGATTGGAATCCTTCGAACATATTGGTGAGGGTCTGCGAGTTCAAAAACAAGGAGAAGCACAAGATGGGTCTCAGCACTCTGCTCACGTGGCTCGATGGAGTCAAACAGGCGGTGGGGCTGGCAACGAGCCCCATGGGAGGGCTCAGAGTCACATCCACGGAGAGCATCTACAAGGCGGAGATTCCTGTGGCCCCAGACCAGCTGCCCAATGTGAAGCGGCAGTTCGTCGAGGCCATGATCGCGTCAAACTTGGCGCTCGAGTCTGCAGCGGGAGACGACCTTTTGCCCAAGGTGGGGGTGGAACAACGCCCCGTGAGGATGGTGAGGTATTGCGCTCTCGGGAGCTTGGCCGAGGTTATCCGTGACAAGGCCGCCAAGGCTGGCCACGTCATCACCGAGGACTGGCTGAAGAGCTTCTCGATATCCGTGGGCAAGCTGGACGAGGAGGCCATCCCAAGGGCAGATGCCCACTCGCGTGAGCTGGCCAAGTACTTGCTCTTGCCGATGTTTCGGGGAGCGAGAGTTCCCTGAAGGAGCCCAAGAGAGATTCTACCCCGCCCACCAGGCTCGCGACGACCATGTCCTGGCGCCCCGTCGCCTGCAACACCGCGTTGTCCACGACGTTCCGGACCTGGAGTCCAGCCTACCAGCTCGCGCGGCGCGGAGCGGCCGGAGGAGGACCAGTTTCGCGAGTGTAGTGGCTGCCGAACATCCGGCAATTATGGAGCCATTAGCCCTCATGGCTCCAGACACGGCGCGACAGTATAGGACGCGACGGGTCCCGCTGTACAGCATGCAGATGCCTTCAGCAGCCGCACTCGGAACTGGAATTCCACGGCGGCGTCGTGCAAGTCCGCTCGCCTGACGTGCTCGTAAAATTTGGACAAGTCCAAATCAGCCGTCGCACAATCAAAGCCAACAGCTCGACCCAAGGCGGCGTAGGCATTGTGCGCCCACGCGGCTTTCTCACAGGAGGTGGCTCGAGACGTGCCCCAGAACAATCATCTTGGAATCTACGTTCCCATTATTGGCACATTGGGGCACGCATCTTGCTCCACAGCTTGGTCACCAAGCAGAGCAATCCGATCGATCGGAGCCCCCCATCTGGCTCAGGCAGGAAGACCAGCGTGGAGAGAAGCTCATCGAGGATGGCGGGGTTGCTGTCGTAGCCCACGATGACGCCCAGCGGGCGGAGCTGGAAATCCACAGGCAACTGCAAGATCCACCGGGGGTGGCAGGAAGTCGTCCCAGCCCAATCCGGTCGTCTCCCGATAGCAACGGCACGCCCGATGCAGATCATCCGAGGTGAGGCCCGGCAAGTCTACGCCGTCCGTCACCGCCCAGTTTTCCGGGGCCACGTCCTCGGATTCCAAGGGGTTGTTCCAGAGCGCCGCCCAGTCGTCCGAGAGCTGGTCCGCCGCGTCCTGGCCGCCCGCCTGCAAACGACCTCCAGGCGTGGAGGCGGCCCTGCCTCCGAACTCGTCCTTGCTCAGACTCCTCTCGGCGAACAGGCGCGCCTGCTTACCACCACTCTGGACAGAGGCACGGGCCCAAGATTTCCAGCCCAGCTTTTTCTGTCTGGCATCTGCTCCCCCACGGCGCCCCAGATCCTGCTCAGGACGCTGCCAAGCCTCCGGGAGGTCGTGCAAGCGACCCCGACCTGCGTGTAGCGCAAGGAGCTGGAGGTCACATTGACTACAATCACCATGCTCTGGCATCGCAGGCGCCTCCATGACCGCGATGATGTCCTGGTGCCTCTCCACCCCCAGCTCGCCCAGCTTGTCCCAACCCAGTCAGTGAAAGGGCGTCCAGGCGCTGACAGAGACAGCGGAACGACCACCATGCAGTGGTGGTGGGTGAGGAACGCTGGCGTTGCTCGCGCTCCCACGTTGTTGTCAGCGGAACCCTCGACGTTCGCGGACCCTCGCGCGCTGCTCCACGCCGTGGAGGCCAACGAGGAACGCTGCGAATTTATCGTACCACTCCTGGAGCTTGGCCACCAGCGGGACATCGCGACACCCACCTCCGCCAGCATCCTCGGGGAGATCCCACGCCCAATCGGGGGGCATATGCTCCAGATGGGGGCCGTGCGGCAGGTCCACCGCAAACCGTCGAAATCGAATCGGTTTGCTGATCCAGGTGCTCGGCCTCGCCCCTTTTCGGGTATAACATCACCAGGATGTGGGGCGGGAGGGGCGCATCTGCTAACATTTTCACGCATGGTGCCAACGTTTCGGCAATCACGACGTAGTCCTAAGTCGGGCTTGTCTCTCTACAGGAGCAATCTCCAAACATAGCCAACAAACTAGTTATGATTCGGCTTCGTCTGCTTCTTACTATTATTATTAGTATTATTACTACTATTATTATTATTATTATTATTATTATTATTATTACTATTATTATTATTATTATTATTATTATTATTATTATTATTATTATTATTTATTATTATTATTGTTATTATAAGTAGTAGTAGTAGTAGTAGTAGTAGTAGTAGTAGTAGTAGTAGTAGTAGTAGTAGTAGTAGTAGTAGTAGTATTCGTTTTCGTCGTCGTCTTCGGCCTCGTCTTCGTCTTCGTCGTCGTCGTCTTCTGCTTCGTCTTCGTCTTCGTCTTCGTCTTCTTCTTCTTCTTCTTCCTCCTCCTCAACCCTCTCCTCCTCCTCCTCTCCCTCTTTCTTCTTCTTCTCCTCCTCCTCGGGCCCTCTCTTTGCCCTGCGTCTTGGCCCTGCCCCCTCCTGCCTCTCCTTGTTTCAGTGGTTTCGGTGGCGGAATATCGGGCTTAGGTCTAATCTTCCGCGGCAGCAGCACGCCGTTGCGATCATCCTGCCCCTTTTCTCCCTCCACACTCGCATGCACCGCCTCCAACTCCTGATCCTCTCCATGTGGCCCTCTTGCCTCGTCTCCCCCCCTTCTCCAGGCCCCCATTTCCCCCCCGCCCCGTCGGTCCTGCCTTCCTTGGGCTTCCCAGTGATATTCAGCGTGATTCTGGCCGCGAAGAGTCATGCGCAGCATCGTCGTAGTAGTTTTCGTCGCGATACAGTTCCTTGTGGACCACTGCGTCACCTAGATGCGCTTTGGACGATTTGATTTGGGTATCCGTGCCAGGTTGAAGGGCCTTGCATTCGGAGGAGGGGAGGTGGGTATTCATGGAGACAGTCGAGCAGCCGGAAGACAAGGAGAAAAAGAGCACCGCTGCCACCCTGACAGAGCATTTCAAGAACGCGAAGAAGAAACACCGCAGCGGGTATGAAGAAGGCGGGCATTGCTCGGGCAGAGAGACAAGATGTCGGGATGCTACTTGCAATGGTGGTGTGAGCGGTGGTGATCGTGAGGAGGAGTTCGCAGGTCTCGGGTCCCGTATGTGATCGCTGAAGAGGCCGAATCCAGCTTCCTGCGGCCAGCGGCACGGTGACGGACAGCCATTGCGAGGGCAGTGCGCGATGCGCTGTGGCCTGCACGTCTCGACGGGGGCGAGGATCACGATGATGATGCGGATGATGCTGCTGCAGCTGATGTTGCTGATGTTGACGATGAGGTTGATGATCATTTTGATGATGCTGATGATGACAGTGATGATGCTGCTGATGATGATGATGCTGCTGCTGCTGATGATGATGCTGATTCGATGATGATAATGCTGATGGTGATGCTGAGCATAACGATTGCGATGATGCTGCTGCTGATACTGATCGTACTGATGATGATGATGATGATGATGATGATGATGATGCTGATGATGATGATGATGCTGATGCTGATGATGATGATGATGATGATGATGAGGATGATGATGATGATGATGATGATGATGATGATGATGCTTGTGATAATGATGGTGATGATGCTGCTGCTGATGATGATGATGCAGATGAGATTGATGATGCTGACGAAGAGGTTGATGATGATGATGATGATGCTGCTGCTGCTGCTGCTGATGTTGTTGAACATTATTCCTTCTAAAGAATTATTATTGTTGGGACCCCTGGTGCGCGACCTCTGCGCCGCGCCTAGGCCGCAGCTACATTTTCATCATTTTTTCGCGAAAGCTTCAGAAAAGTGGATGAGCTCCGGATCCGGTTTTTTGTTGACGCTCGTTTTCCCTTGCAAAAAACAATAGAAAATGAAAATTCTTGTTTTTACTTGATCAAATTGCAAGAATCCCTTGCAAAAAATAAGGTAAAGTGGACATTCGTGCGCGCAAGACGAAATCCTTCCAAAACCTTAGGTTTCGTAGCGATTTTAACATAAAAACATCAAAAACCCAATGGTTTTCTCAGAAAAAATTGTCAAAATGTCCTTCCGCGCGCTCTTGCGGATTCCTAGGAAACCCACCAGATTTTAAACATTTCTGTTAAAAGGGCCTTTGCGAGGAACCTTTTCAGGTGCTTCGACCTTCTGCAACAACGGTTGCGAGCCTACGAGGGCCACCATCCCTTGCAAAAAATGACACGAAGTGCACATGCGCGCGGCCGCCGCGCGCGCGTGCCGAAATCCTGCCAAACATAATGTGATTTCAATAATTTCAAGATGCGATGTTCCGAAAACATATGCAAACGCAAGACTTTCTCATCCGAAAAATATCAAAATCCACCCGCGGGCTCTTCATGAATCTTTAAAACCCAAGATGGCCCCAAGAGGCGCTCAAGATGGCCCCAAGAGGCGCCCATGAGGCCGCAAGAGGCGCCCAAGATGGTCCCAAGAGGCCCCAAGAGGACTCCAAGAGGCCCCCAAGAGGTTCCAAAGAGGCTCCAAGTTGGCTCCAAGAGGCCCCCAAGATGGCCCCAGGAGGCGTCCAAGCGGCTCCAAGAGTCCTCCGGGAGGATCCAATAAGCCCCCAAGAGGCCCCAACATGCTTTCAAGAAGCCCCCCAAAGCCTCTCAAGAGGACCCCATGCGGCGCCAGGAGGCTTCCCCCCTTCCCCAAGAGGACCCCCAGCGGCCCCAGGAGGCTTCCCCCCTTCCTCTCACGCTCATATCCGTAGCCATCTCGGATCAAGGTATCGCCTGTGTTCTTGGATCATGGCTTTGACGGCGAAAGACCTTCACGAGCAGTATGGCGCAGAGCTGTCCCGGCCTCCCTTGGCCGACTGCGAGAGTGCGTATTATTTGCATCAGGCGCTCGCGGCAAAGGGTATCAATGCCAGTCACCAGGCGTGCAAGACTTGGTGGGCCAAGTATCGGGTTGTGACTGGCAAGGTCAGTATTTCTAGCGCCAAGGAGCTGGAGGAGCAGCACGGGTCTGCCATCCGCCACCTGGGCATCGAGTATAATACCGCTTACAAATTATGCCGGGCGCTCCGACAGTTGGATCCACCACTGTATGTGCCAGATAGGGTCGCAACGGCGTGGCTACTGCAGTATTCATCGAAAGACACGCTTGTCCAAGTGCAGAACGCTGGCCATCTGGAGAGCTGGTATGGAGAACGTATTCGCGGGGCACATGCGGGGCCCAAACAAGTGATCAACCTCTGCGGGTGTGTACTCCACGCCAGTGTAGTATCCACGATCGTCCGCGCGCCACGAAGTGAAGTGTCCTGACGTCATAGGGCGGGAAGCTGGGTGTGGGTGGTTCCCGAGAGTCGTGTGGATGTTTGGTAGAGCTTGCATTGCCCCCCCACGAAGTGGGGGTATTGGCTGGCGTCGCATGAAAACCCTGGCACTGGGGGGAACACTGAGCGTTCGGGTAAAATGATTGTTGTTGTTGTTGTTGTTGTTGTTGTTGTTGCTGTTGTATATGATGATGCTGGGTACGCAGGCACTTTGGCGTACACAGGCGCTGAGGTGCAGATCGCCATCTACACATGCTGCTGCTACCCGTTCTCGGTCATTCCTAGGCATTCTCAGATGCCGCTGGCGCGAAACGTGACGTCATCGGCCCCCTCCGCCCGCCAGATGGTTGCCGTCGTCGGCTCGAAATAAGAGAAAAAAGGCTCCAGCCATGTCCGCGCGCACGACGACGACGACGACGACGACGAGCGACGAGCGAAGAGCGAACACGACGACGACGACGTCGACGACTGCGGGCCAGACTCCTTTGCCCGATGCGCACGGTGGCAGTGCCCAGAGCGCACTGAGGGGGGGAGCGTTACGTTATACGGTCAAGTTGCCACATATAGCGTGCACGGCCCCCCTCGAGTGACAGAAAAGCACTCAAACGTGTGCACGCTGTAGGCCGCCTCGCCGGCGTATTTTGAGTTTGATAGAATTAGGGACCCCACTGGAAGTCGTTCGTGCACTCTATTCGTTGACTCAGCCTCGGAGCGCACGTGCAATCTATCCGTCGATAGGCCCGACCCGGGAGGCGCAATCTATACGTTTTTGGCTCGTATGGCGCCCCTCGGGGGGTGCATTCTATACGTGTCCTCCACCTCCAGCTCGCCATTCCACTCCGTCCCCTCCTCCTCCTCTTCCTCCCCCTCCTCCTCTTCCTCCCCCTCTTCCTCTTCCTCCCCCTCCTCTTCCTCCTCCTCCTCCTCCTCCTGCTGCTCCTCCTCCTCCTCCTCCTCCTCCTCCTCCTCCTCCTCCTCCTCCTAGGTACGTAGGAGCACGTCCGACGTGAGAAGAAACGTTTAGAGCGCATAGAGTGTACCTGTGTTTTCAGAACGTCGATCTTGCTCAGCAGTCCCTTGGGCTGTGCTGGACCTCTCTGAAAGTCCTGTTGGGCTGTCTTTGCGGCGCTCGGGGCCCTCCTGGGCCGTGCTGGGCTGCTCCTGGAGCCATCCCAAGCTGTCTTACAACTCTATGGGGCCCTCTGGACGTCACCTCTTGGAGCCCTGAGCGGTCCTGTCCCCCCTTCTGGAGCTGGGGCCCGTGTAGCGTGTCCCCTGCCCCTCCCGCTTTCCCTGGGGTCGGGGCCATGCTGGGCTGTCTTGGCGGCCTTTTGAGCCTTCTTGGGGCTCCCGTGGGCCGTCCTGGGCCTCTCCAGGGGCCTTGCTGGGCTGTCTCTGTGGTTCTCGGGGCTCTTGTGGGCCGTTCTGGGCTGCTCATGGAGCCATCCCAGGCTGCCTTACAACTCAACAGGGCCCTCTGGACGTCATCTCTTGTAGCCCTGAGCCGTCCTGCCCCCTGCTGGAACTGGGGCCCGTATAGCGTGCACCTTGCCCCCCGCCCCTCCCGTCCCCCTCGCGTCGCGCTGGGCATCCCTGCGGGCCCTCTTGGGCAATCTTGGGCGCCTGGGGGGCCATATTGGGCTGCTTGAGGCAGCAATCGGAGCTTTGCTAGGCTGTCTGGGCGGCCTTTTTGGCCTTCTTGGGGCTCCCGTTGGGCCGTCCTGCGCCTCTCTGGAAGCCCTGTTGGGCTGTCTTTATGGCGCTCGGGGCACTCGTTGGCCGTTCTGGGCTGCATCTGGAGCCATCCCAGGCCGTCTTACAACTCTATGGGGCCCTCTGGACGTCACCTCTTGGGGCCCTGAACCGTCCTGCCCACCCATGCTTGAGCCGGAGCCCGCATAGCACCTGCCCCCCGCCCCTCCCGCCCCCCCGCCCCCGGGGGGTCGCGCTGGGCTTCCCTGAACAAAAACCCTCTTGGGCAATCCTAGGCGATCTGGAGATCATTTTGGCTCGTTAAGGGTAGCAATCGGGGCCATGCTTGGCTGTCTTGGCGGCATTTGAGGCCTTCTTGGGGGTTCCCTTGGGCCGTTCTGGGCCTCTCTTGGGACGCACAGAGACATACTAATACCATATGTCCGCCTTGGAGGCGCGCGTCCGACCCGAACATATAGTATACCTATATTGTAGTATATCGTTTCTCGAGAGGTGCGGCCAGAAAGCGCCCGCCTACGATTTCTCGGTGCGCGCGTCGCCCCGGGGGGGCGACGAACCCATAGTATAGGTATGTTTGGGGGACGCCGATCTCTGGAAGCCCTGTTAGGCTGTTTTTGTTGTGCTCGGGGCTCTCGTGGGCCGTTCTGGGCTGCTCCTGGAGCCATCCCAGGCTGCCTTACAACTCTATGGAGCCCTCTGGACGTCACCTCTTGTAGCCCTGAGCCGTCCTGCCCCCCCATGCTGGAGCCGGAGCCGACGTAGCGTGCACCTGCCCCGCGCCCCTCCCGCCCCGCCCCCCCCGGGTCGCACCCCCCCTTCTGGGGGTCGCGCTGGGCCTCCCTGAACGAAAACCCTTTTGGGCAATCCTCGGCGATGTGGAGATCATTCTGGCTCGTTTGGGGTAGCAGTCGGGGCATGCTTGGCTGTCTTGGCGGCCTTTGGGGCCTTCTTGGGTGTTCCCTTGGAATGTGGAGGAGCGAAGGAGGAGGAGGAG